CTTCAGGTGTTTTTAAAAAGCTTCGATTCCGCTACCGACTTTTGAGTACAAATAGTAACTATCGTATCATACAGTATAAAATACAAGCAGTATTTGAATACAAGCAGTATTTGAACTTGTGAAAATTTGTGAATTATTTGATGGGTCTGTCCTTCCACTCCGATTTGGTTCACCAGATGTGGGAGGTGGAGGTCAGACTGACCGTGCCGGTGTCTTTTGGTAAATATAATGTGCTTGTTTACCGCGTCATCACTAATTAGCGCGTGTTTCACAACCTATAGTCGGGTTTGGCGGTTTCGGTTTTGTAAATGCCCAAATTTGCCACACGGTCCTGAAAGATGCTGATCCTCAAAATAGTGCCAATTGTGATGGGGCTTCTGCTATCAATGTATGAAAGTATAGTTGGACTGTGACTGGAATTTTGTATATTGCCTGTATGACGTTGCCTCTGCTACAACACGAACATAAGTTTTTAGTTGCGTGGGCAAGTTCCTGTAATACAATGAATCACACACTGGAATTTAAAAGAAGGATGCAATGAGAAAAAACCAAGATTTGAAGGTGAAACATTCATATTGATGCATGATATGAGTGGGACAAGTAAGATTGCGTTTTAACCAGATGCATGTAACTCACTCCAATGTTTGTTCTGGACAAGATTGTACTATACAACCAGCTAATAAAGCTGTACAATTAGTAGAACAGATGGTACTTTCAACAAGTCCTTAGTGCCTTGTTTACTATTTTGTCTACTCTTCAGAATCTAGCTATTGGCTATCATATAGCATGTATTGACATTTTGATTGTGGATTTGATTCATTTGTCGTGCATTCATCATTCCACATACATTACATGCAGTATTTGAGTATTGTGGTCTGTCCTATGGTCCTGGAGAAAGAACAGGGAAACGAGGAGGGGTGTGTGCTGCCCAACTAAGCTTACAAATTACAATGGGAACTACGATTGAAGGCTAGTGCTATTAACAAATCCCTAACCCTTGCATCAAACCCAACAACTATTTATTGATTTATTGTACCGTACACATTAATAGTATGATACGGCCTGTACAATAGTTTTTTTGACTTCGGAAAACTTGATCAAAATTGAAAATTGAAAGGGGGATTCGACCCGAATAGTACAACATATTTTGGGAGCTTCAAAACTCTCCCTCAGGACCCTCAGCAACTCGTCTGTCTGTCGTCCAATTTAAACGGGGGGAAGCACTTTTCTCTAGTCTTCCCCCATTATGTTTTGCAGTCAAATTTAGGGGCCCCAAGTTCTACTTTTGGGTCGAATCGAAACACGACAAACCAGTTCGAAACACGACAACAGATTCCGAAACGCGACAACAGAATTTGAAAGACGACAAACCAATTCGAAAGACGACAAACTCGAATGAAACACGACAAATCAATTTGAAACACGACAAAATATTTTTCGGAAAACCGTAATGCCCCCTTTTAAACAACTCCCCCTAAAGAATGATGTATTCGCTCCCCGTAAATTCAATACGCAAAATCCCCCTTAAAACGACGAAGGACGGACGAGTTGCGGAGGGTCCAGATTGATTCTGGCCTGACTGAACACTCTGTAGCAATCGTGTTTTGAGACTTCTTTAGTTTTTTATTTAGAAATTTGTGGTGTCTCAAAACACTCTGAAATCAAACGCAGGGTTTTTTCTCGCGGACTGCTCAACATTTTGTAGAAAGTCCAACTGGTCGACAAGACGAGATTTTTTGGAAGCTCCCGCACTTCACTGTTCCAACCGCTCGCCCGCACTGTCTCCCGCTCGACACAATTTATTTTACTTTCGTGCAGCAATGACAACAATATCAATAACATCCATCCTACAACGAGCATATTCTATGAGTATTCAGCTGATATTGGGAATTTTCAGATATTCAATTGCGAGTCTGGGTGGCGAGAAATGGTGGCTCACTGATTGACGACAAAAATTCAAACGAATTTAAACACCAATCAACCCAAAGAAGTCAGGAATGGATCGGACATTACGGCAATACACGATTTCCTTCAATATTTATTCAGCTAATGATTACAGTTTTCAGATATTCAATTGGAGAAGTAGGTGCGGAGAAATTGCGACTTGACTGGCGTGACGACGGAATTTCATCAATCAACCAATGAATGGCAACAATACAAATATACAGTTTCATTCATTTTAAATTCAGCTAGTAAAGTCTTTTCCTTTTCTCCTCGTGAAGAAGCCATCGTCGTAGTGTTTGTGATTGTGATTTGTGGAACGCAGACCATGCTGGGCAGAACGGGAGACCGTATGGGTGTGCTTGAGACATGCGGTACCAGGTACGGAGCTTCGAAAAAGCCTGTCTTGTCGACCACTTGGACCATCAACAAAATGTTGAGCACTCGAGAAAAAAACCCTGCGTTTGATTTCAGAGTGTTATGGAGCATAACAGATGTGACTGAGGAACGAAGTACATACGGCGTCTGTCATGCGACATCAAACACACGATTGCTACAGAGTGCCTGACTGAAATAGATTCCGCCGTCATATGTAAAATTATATCTCACACATACAAAACGCAATCTTATTGCGCAACAATACTGTAATACGAGTACATGTACATATTACTCTTGCCGTCGTGATTGCGCCTTCCTTCCTTCAGCAGTAATACTATTACTGTAATTGAAGTCACGATATATACCGGTATTGCATCCATTAAAATACTGTTCACCATGACTCAACAGCATGAATCAAATGATGAGAATGATGATGATAAGAAGATGAATACGAATTCGATACCATCATCATCAACAACACAAAGTGAAACAGACAAAGAAAAGGATTCCGAAATCAAGAACGTCTCTGTTGGATCTAATTCGTATCTATTGTCGAAAAGTACTGCAGTATCGGAGTCTACTGGAACTGAAACTCTTACCGACTGCGCACCAAGCCGAGAATCTGCATCCGCATCCTCTCTCAACAAATCCATGGATCATCCACAATCACAATCACAATCACAATTGCAATCACAATTAGCAACAAGCCCGACACAACAAGGTCAACAGCGACTGTATCTGTCCAAGCCAGACACGGAACGACAAACTGATAACAGCCGACCAATGCCGAATACCGGTACTACTGCACCCAACGAATCATCATCGGTCGTGGATGATGATATTGATACCAATGATGTGAATCACGATCCAAATCAGAATCAGAACGATGAGACTGATTTGGAAGCACCGACCCCACCAGAAGTCTATGTTCAAGCGGAAGTGGCGCGGGATATGGATTCAGTCGTGAACCAAGCGGTATCAGAAGCATTGCGGGAGAGAGATCGCAATGTTGTCAGTGCGGTGCATGTGCAAACAGCTCCAGAGGAAGACCAAGACCGCAAGGTTCCGAATAATCAGCAGCTGCTGGCCGAAGCAGAAATCAAACACTTGCGAAGACAGCGATTCATCTATGTGGGATTTGGTGCTTTCATTGTTATTTTGATTTTGGCTATCGTTCTTTTGACTGGTGTATTGGACTTGAACCCTGACCCTGACCCTGACAATGTGCGAGTTCTGAACAATCAAACGAACACCACCGCCAATGACACGACTGCGACGGCGTCTCCATCCTCGATTGCAATTCTGTCACTTAGCTCAGATTTGCCACTGCAGCTTTGTCAAGGAAATTGCAATCGTGACCAAGACTGTGATGAGGGCCTGATGTGCATGGAACGAATCGAAGGGAACTTACAAGATGTTCCTGGGTGTTCTGGAAAAGTCGAAGACTTCCAATCTATCAACTTTTGTATTGTCAAAACACTAACAAGGCTCAGAGAAACCAACCGATTCCCTCTTGGATTGTGCGAGGGAGGTAAGTTTCATCCTGTCGCCCCGCAATCCTATTCGCACATTTGATTCAAACTTTTCTCACCATTTCTGATATCATACTATATTGCACTGCAGACTGTGACTCTGATGTGGACTGCAACACAGGAATGATTTGTTTCCAAAGAAATAGCTTTGAGCCTGTTCCGCAATGCTTTGGAGGAGAAAATGATGAAAGCCGAACGGATTATTGCGTTCCGCCAGAACCCACTGCAAATCCGTCTACTTCGCCGACGGGACCAACACTTTGGCCTACTCTTCCACCAAGTGTTGCACCAACTCCAAATCCAAGTGTTGCGCCAACTCCAGGTCCAAGTGTTGCACCAACTCCAAATCCAAGCGTTGCGCCAACTCCTAATCCAAGCGTTGTACAAACTCCAAGTCCAAGTGTTGCAACAACTCCAAGTCCAAGTGTTGCAACAACTTCGAATCCAACAACAGACCCATTTCGAATCAGAGCCATCGACGCAAGTCTTGGCGAAGATTTGCTTCCATATCACCTGGAAGCTCACAAGTGGCTATTGCAGACTGATACTTGGCTTCCGTCTGAAGAGGCTGCCGATCCTTCAGGTCTTTGGAGAGAACGATATGCCTTTGTGACCCTTTACTTTGCTACGAATGGCCCATTCTGGCCAACCCAGGCCCAAGGGAGATGGCTATCAAACGAATCGGTCTGCCAATGGAACAATGGTATTCGATGTAACATGGATGGCAAGGTTGATTACTTGGATATTGTTGGTACGTACTGTCGAATGGTTGTATCGAACCGAAGCATTACATATCTCATATCAGTGATTCGTCCATTGCATCGGTCTGTCAGATTGGAGTCACATAGTTGGCTCAATACCGTCAGAACTAAAGGCTTTGACAATGCTCAGCCATTTAGCTTTCAGCAGCCATGAACTCGGAGGAAGTTTCCCTACAGACATTATGAGCCTAACGTTGCTGACACGACTCGACCTAAGTAAGTTCGGCATTGAATGAAATCGTCAGTATAATACGATGCAAGATGATTCTAATCCAAGCTGTTGTTCATATGCAGGATCCAATGAGCTATCTGGAGTCATACCAACTGAAATTGGACTGCTCAGCAAGCTGCAGGGGTTGTACTTGAGTAAGTGAGAGGCAGTTACATCATTTCTCGATTGCATCTACTTTGACAGGCCTGATTCATCCATTCCTTCTTCCTCTGCAGGGCAAAATAATTTAGTCGGTAGGCTACCATCCGAGATTGGAAGGTTGACTGATCTCCAAAACACTTTCCTGGGTATGTACTCTTGTTGTATTGGTGGTCAATTGAAATTGCACAAGCCACTCATCATCTTCTTTTGAATTCAGATGAAAATCTAATATCAGGCTCCATCCCAACTCACATCGGCCAACTAACTGCTCTCCAAGGCCTCTGGGCTTGTGAGTTTCAACTGGCAGAGTGTCATTGTTGCTTGTCTTTCATTTCCTCTTCTTACACATTTCTAAATATCTTTTTTGTCGTGTAATACAGACAACAACCGTTTGAATGGCCCCTTGCCATCGGAACTTGGCCTTCTGACAAATATGGAGTACTTGCATCTATGTACGTAATAACATCAAGTATTGGCCCTTGGTACTTTTGCATCTCCTTTCTCACTCAATTGATGGTCTCTTTGGCAAATAATAAATTATTCAGACGACAATGATCTAACAGGTCCAATCATCTCTGAGATTGGTCAACTGAGAAACATGGAGTGGTTATCCTTGTGTACGTTTGCATGTCTTATGTGTTTTCTGTCAGATTCTATCATGATTTCTCCTCACCAGCATACCCCAATTGACACAGATGACAATGCATTTGAAAGAAATATACCCACTGAAATTGGGAGACTAACCAACATGTGGTTTCTGGATTTGTGTAAGACGCCACTTTATCTTGGAGTTGAATTTGCCATGCTTTCTTTGTACTTACCAACTTGCATTGATTGTCTTTCCAGCAAGTAATCGTCTAACCGGTTTGGTGCCTTTTGAATTTGGGAACCTATTTCTGGAAGCTCTCAATCTAGGTAATTGTACTCCCGGTGGCCAACCTTTCATGCGAAGATTCAAATGTCTAAATGTATCTCATCTTTTTTGTTCTCATACTGTGTACTGTACCTACAGCAAGAAACCAACTCACGGGAACATTTCCAGTCATGACATTTGACTCCCGTGATAGTGAGCCGAGATGTTTCATTGGTACGTCCTGAATACGCAAAGCACACCGTGTCAAGTTTTTGCCAAGAATCACCGCCCTAACGTCATTGTTTCCACCAGAATCAAATCGCTTCAATGATACAAGTAATGTGCAAAATGTCTGCCAGGTCTGATCGATTCCCATGCACAACCAATTTCTGAAGGGTGATCTTTGTAATATATATTAAAGTAGCTGCTAGGTCCTATATGCTATTATGCTCTTATCGCTGCATTTTGTAACTGTTGCCATTAATTTTGTTGAATTGGGCACAGCATGTCATGTACTTCCAAATACTGAGCTTGTTTGTTGCCTTTGACTGGATGTGTCTTCTTGTTTTCAACATGCTTTGATTTCTTGCCAGTGTTTGGCTTATTTTCAATTGTAGGTTTCTTTTTCCATTGGCCTCACCATTGAGAAGGAGTCAAAAGTTGTCTGTTTGTCCATCAGATGATAGCCGTTGCTGAACGTCTCCACCCCAACCGCTAATGTATCCAAGTATCTTATACAAGTATCAAGGTTCCCAGTTTTTACTACAATATACCTTTGCTAAACTTTGCCACATTCTCAGGTTGTTAAGACTAAGCGTCGCCAGTGCACGTGTTGAGATGGTCGGAGTTTCATCCTGATGGCACTGATTGCGACCCAGATGCATGGGCCTGCGCCATTGCCTTGGCCGCAGCCTTGGAAAAGAATGTTGCTAGTGGGCCCAAAGGTCCGATCCGAGTTGCCAAAGCCAGTTCGGACCCTGTGTTTTGCCTTTGCCAAGATATCAAGCATGAAGTTGGCGGCAGTGACCGGCAGGCCAAATCTCCACAAGGCCGACTTTGCTACCTTGTGAACAATGCGATCACATCAAGACTTTGCATCATTTGAGATCCAGCCTGAAGACCGTCATTCCAGGATCAGCGAGTCTCAGATCAACCGTTTGGAAAGGGCGAGATCAATGGACTGGCGCTGCTTCTGTGACCAACACTGTCCTTTGGGGATGATGTCATCCTCCTCAGCATTCTTCATTGAACCCTAACCCGACTTCTTGCAGTGGGCTTGAGCCTCCAAGCTGAGCAGCTGGATGGTCTGCATCCCTTGTGGGCGGAAGTCAACTGGATTCTTCTTGATGGCAAAGTTCATCAAGTTCTTCCAGAGTTCCAGAACACGCGGTGAGTTTGAATTGCCTGTTGCGTCAAAAACCACCTCTCGCATGGACTGTGGATGTAAGGGCGCCTTTGTGACTACACTTTGATATGGAATGATATGATAATGATATGATCAGACGACAAGCTTTGATCATAGAGGGGAAGAGTGAAACGGCCCATATGGAACAGGCCCTATCCATGTATTGGGACTGTAGAAGCTCCTTTGATGCGCAAAAATGATATACTTTTCAATAATTCTAGTTAGTGCTATGGTGGGGAACCACATTGGGATCCCAGGTGTTGTATTATTTTGCCTCTGTTAGTTTATACTACCCTAGTCCAACGCTTTGAGCGTAGATTCATTAATCACACAATACGTTGCTTTTTTAAAAATACAATCGCATTTGTGTGTCCTTGTTTCATTCACTACATTTATCAGGTACCTGTAGCTATTACATTCAATAATTTCATACTACCGGCCAGTAAAGCGCTGTTTCATCTTGCTAATGTTTTTCCCAGATTAAAAGCTACCGTATGTTAGAACTATGCAACAAGTCAAATTCTGACTATCAGGTTAACTATTATTCTGATGACAATATAGTAGTACTGGCCACTGACATACTACTTTACATTATCAACATCACATGCAAGTAAAGAATGATAAAGTTGAGTTGATTATTGTATATTCCTAACTAGTATAAGTACAGCAATGAGTATTCTTAGTAACAAAAACAATTGTGAAGAATGTCCACGCATGCGGATCGATCCACGCGCCTTTCCAATAAAGATGTCAAAAGAAAACATTATGAGTCCAAAAGTAAACGGATTGAAACCTGCTCATTTCTCTTCCGGCTTGTAAATAACCGCAAAGGTTCCCACAGCCACAAAAAAATTTCCGATCCAGCCCTTGTACCCGGGTAAGTCCCCAACTCCCATGCCAAACGCTAAGAGGGTGGAGGCGACGGGCTCCATCAAACCCGCAACGGAAATTACGAGCTTGTCAAAAAAGTGCATGGCACGAATGTATCCCATGACCCCAAATAGATTGCAAAAGACGACAGCAATGATAGTAAGGAACAACCGATCTGCACTGGGCAAGAGCCAAGCAAACAACCCATGGTACCTTTGAAGGTCAAAGGTAAAGTCTTTTCCGGACAGCCAAATGTAGAGAAAGGCATAGGCAGAGCTCTGGAACATATTAAGGAACATAAAGACGTAAAGATTCAAGTGGGATCGGACACTCTGGGCAAAGACCAGGTAACCGACACCTCCAAACGCGGCACACAAGGCAAGCATATCGCCGAGCAGCGTCATACTTCCATTGCCGGTGCCGCTTGTGATGTCGGTCTCGGCGGCATCGACGGAACAAAAGACTGCCCCCGCAAAGGCCACCATGGCTCCGGTAAACTCGAGGCGGGAGATGGGTTCGCCGACAAAGAATTTTCCAAATATGAGAAGGAGTAGCTGGGAATTGTATAGAATCATGGCGTTTCCAACAGAAGTGTAATCAAGTGACATGACAAAGAAGAGACCCAGTGCCGAGTAGGAGAATCCGGCTAGGAAGACCCCAACCCACTGGGAACGGTCCAATTTTGGCCATCCATCCTTCGCGAGTCCAATGACGAACAATGGCAAAAGGATGACGTTGGTGGCGCAGTTCCTCCAAAAAATCTTCATGACGGCATCGACATCTTCTTGGACTTTGAAGAAGGGGCCTGTCGCAGAAATTGACATGATGGCAACAAACAAGAAGAGATAGGCACTGAGCGGAGTCCTCGTCGTGTGTTGGGGTTGCGAAGGACTTTCAGTTTTTGGCATTTCGTTTTCGATTTCCGTTTTTCGAATGTTTGTGGGGTCGATGGTATGGTTATTATTGTATTCCTCGACCGACACAACCAGGTTTCCGAATCCATCAGTAGGATCGTGATGCTGATGCTGCAGGGTGTGAACCACGCTATCGGGAAAGAGGTTGCAGGCATTCGGAGTAACCCGACAAGCCATAGCCGGTGGCTCGTAGAGCAGCGCTGCGTCCGCAATATCACTGGGCAACACACCCAGGTTGCGAGCCATTCCCATGTCCATCACAAAGGTCCTGTCCTCCTCTTGATCATCTCGTTCCAACAGTTCGTCCTTGAAGTTGTCTCGGATTTCTTGGATTTCTTCCACCAAAGCCTCGTTGAAGTCACCTGCAACATCTTGCATGGTCTCGACGATTCCTTCCAAAACAGTCTGATGCGGTTCGACTTCCTCCACCTCCTCTTCTGGTTGAAGGTCGTTTTCCTCATCCGAGCCGCCGCTGGTGTTGCGAGAAGCAAGAAGGGCCGTCGTCTCCGAAGCCGCATTCTCGGTAGTGGTGTTGTCGTTGGTTATCGTCATGGAGTTGTCTGATTTTGTGTGTGTGTTTGTACTACTGATACCGATTCTAAATAGTGTGTGCGTATATAATGTTCCACCAAAAAGTGTCTCTGCGCTTGATCAGAATATTCAATCAGAAGAATCAATCAGAAGAATCAATCAGAAGAATCAATCGTGAATCGTGACGTTCTAATAACGTAGACGGAAGAAAGCGGTCGAACCAATGGACTCAATAGTGACTCCATGAACGACGGTAGGGCGACCGTCATCTCAGTATTGCTCCAGCAACCTAAGTGCGATCTACACATATCGAACTTGTGTGCAAGTATACTGACAGAAAGATAGAGTTATTTCTTTCTTTATATTCAGTTTTATTGTTATTACATTTATTCACAAGAGTATTAGTTGTCTTAGGCATCTTTTACGGTGGATTGTTTGAGCTTAGCCGACAATTTCACAAGTTTTCCAGTCCTCCAGCCTTTCCGACAACCACAACAGCAACAAGAATGCCAAGTCAATCTTTCCTCTCCAAGAAATTTGCCGTAGGTGAATTTTTGAAACTCCGCGATTCGTTTACGAATCTCCCCTACGAAGGGAAACTCAACTATCATCTCGCTCTTGACAACAACAAGTGTCCAACTCTCAAGAACCTCCAAAGTTTCTTATGGATTTCCTGTCGAGCGGCTCTCCAAAGGCAAGCCCCTCTACTGAGGATTTCCGGCCAGCAAGAGAGCGCTATGTCGAGTTAGATACGGAATTCAAGAGATGGAATGACCCAAGTTTGACTTACCATCCGCGTCTGATGCTTCTTTGTGAAACCAAACCGCCAGGATTTGCGCTAGTTGTTCGGAAAGGGGCGGACGGAGAACCTTGTCACCTATGCTTCATCTCTACTCCGGTAATGACAAAACCAAATGCGAGCGCAGGCAGTGGTTTCGGTGCACCATTGTTGGCTGATATCTTTGAAACCATTTGAAGTGTCCTCGGCCAGTTGATGAACCGAATCACTTGATGTTGGGTTCCCTGTGTGGTACCACCTTAGGTGTATCCCTGGACCAAGGACGTCGGGCCTTTGCAGAAGCGTTGTTTCCTGTGATCATGTCAGATGGTTTGGCCTTGGCGATTGGTGGAAAATTTTAATTTTTCCATTTATGTCAGAATGCCCAGTTGGTTTTGTTTGGCCAGCTACAATTAGCTATGCCGAATTCTGTGATTCTCTGGAGAATCGCAATAGTAAGGTTTTTGGGGGATTTTTGCATCTTCTCGGCACCCAAAAAGCGGCAATTGAAAATTGGTTTGACGCCGTAAATGCTAATTCTCAGGCGTTTGGTGTACCTGTGGTATCGGCTCTTCCTCTAAGGGATACTTTTCCAACTGTAGATAACCCTAATGGACAATCAATGATTGGTGATTGTAAGCAGTTGGCGCCGTTTCAGGTCCAACAAGATCGTTTCTTGCGCAATCACTTCTCTCAAATTGTGAGACGCGGACCTATCGCTGCCCAATCCAAGGCGTTCTAGATGGAGCGGATGCAGTATCATATGTTCATTAAACGCGGAACATTGGAATATCCATTGGATCAAGGTGGTGGTGGCACACTATCTGCTGAATGCCAACCTTTTCTGAGTCAAATGATGCAACCCATGGATGGATGGAACGATGATGGCCCGAATTGGTGTGCCAGTTTTACACTGGACCCAATGGAGGTCCCGTCTCCCTTCCATCTTTATCCAGTAAAAGATATTCCCAAAACAGCAAATAACCTCTAGGTTATAAACCACAACGTCTGGTGCGACCGGTGGAAGAAGAACCAGGAGAATCTTTTGATGATTTTCTAGCAGCCTCTCAACAACTACATTCAGGTGAGCAATTGGACGATTCAGTTGATTCCTCTTCCGATACGGAGGAGGTCGCATATGTCGCTACACTAGGACCACCACCCAATGATGGTGGTCCAAGAAGGGTGACAAATCCTACTGCAGGTGGGCCGTATGCACAGATGGCAGCGACCCCGAGACCTCCAACTTGTGATCCGACAACAGGACGCCAAACGGGGGTATCATGGTCAACGTCGCCATCTTTTCTTGCACCTGTGCCAGCTGTCTCTCCTCCTGAAGATGACGACGCCGGTTATAATGTTCATGCAGCAGGGGATCCATTTGCACCTACTGTAACACTATTAAAGAGGCAGCATCTACCATTTCAACAGTCTGGACGAACGACTACACCGCGTCCTAATAGAGACGATGCGGACTGGACTTCCCCATTTGCGCCCCATAAGCGTCCGAGGATGGATGTTGGGGACCATGCAGGGCCATTTCAACCAACTCCGTCTCCTTTTCGGGGGAGCCCAAGTCCTACTGTTCCTACAATGCATGATCCATTTGCACGGGCACCATCTCCGTATCACACAGCGCCAGTCCAGCAGTCGCCGTTCCATCCTATGCCAGTGCAACAACATCCTCACGTGACTCCGGGCGTGTATCACACGCCGTCGCCATACCAGCCAACCCCACCGTCGCAATATCCACATTCACCGTACCCGCACCCAACATTTGTGCCTGACGGAATGGGTGGATACTATCAGACAATGGTAAATCCCGCTGCTATGGTCCTGGGACATCCTCATGGTGGCCTTGTTCACTCGCCTGTTGTTGCAAAGCTGGGTGCTCTCAAGATTCGACTAGAGTCAACGAAGCACGCGGCTATTTCCACACCAGAACAAAGGACAATATGTCCACCTGTGTTCCTATCATGTTGTTTTTGGTTGCTCCAAGACATTGGTGACGTGGGTGCTGGTGTTGTTCATTGCAGAAAAGATGGAGAACCAGCAAGACAAGTGTCTTCTGAAGCTGTCTTTCGAATCCTCATGCTATCGGAACTTGGACGACAGGTTATGTCTGGTGTGGATCATAAGAATGACGGAAATGCAGCTGCAGTTGCCATGGTCCGGGTGATAAGATACCGTGCCAAACTGTCACTTGGGCCGTTTGGATCGTTACAATTACCTTCCGAGCAGCTGTTGACTACTGTCATGGATAGTGTCTTTGTCCGAAATGGTTTGGACATGAACACATGGAGTGTGGATCCGGAAAGACCACCCCCTACTGACACCAAGAAACAATTCTCGGTATTGTCCTTCCTTCCTTGTTTGGACAGTGGTATGTCTTCTACCATTGTTCTATAACTCTCGACCAAGCAAGGCAACTGGGAATGATCATCTACTATTTCTTTGCCATGTTGAGTGCTAAGAAGCCAACCTATGATGGAGCGGATTATGATGATGGGGATTTTCAGAGTTCCATCTTTGGTAATACTCTGTTTTTAATGTGCAATACTTTGATGCAGAATGGGGATTTGATGCGATTGTGGATGAAGTATCCGGACATGTGTACAACGGAATACATTTGTGACCTAAGGGAGCTTTTGTACCACTTGAAGTCGTCTGTGGATTACCGGTCTGGAGCTGATATGGGTCATTATGGCATACATGAGGCTCGTCTTGCAAACCATCCTAATTTTCCTTTCATGAAACTCCTCGTTGATGGAAAGTCGGCAAAGTACAACTCAAACTGCCCATCTGAAATCGGCTATTCAAAAATATCGAGATGCAATGTATAACAAGTGGGATAAAACCTACTACAGCCTACAGGATCCAATCTGGTCGTCCCCTTGTATTTCTGTTTTTCTAAAGGCATCAAATCAAGCTTCTGGAGGTTCCGATCGGTCTTCTCGCAACAAGTTATTGCACGATGATCGTAATGGTCCTGCTAAGCCTGGAAAAGACAAGGAGAAGGAGAAGGTAGTATTTATTAATGGTACTCCACCTTTTGTGTGGAATGAAGCAAGGACTCCAATGAGAGGACGAGATCCAGTTGTTGCCTTTCAAAATGCCAAGGTGCCTAAGGGTGGATATCCTCACCTCAAAAAACCAAATAACAACATGAATGGTAAGAAGATGATATACCCAATCTGTCTGAATTCTGCTTTTGAGAGCCATCGGAAATATCATGATAGCGCAGCATGTAAAGTATTTGCCAAACATGGCAAGCCGGGCATTGGAAGAACTCAAGTACACATTGATCTTGAAGATGTTAAATGGTCCAACGCCAACTATCCTGAAGCAAACTGGAAAGACGTTGTTGCTTTTGTCAAGAAATACAATGACTATCTATTACCAACATTTAAAAGATTGACGCCCAGCACACAATGGTGATGGGAGCCGTTGCCGCCTGCGGGGGCCCAGCTAAAGTCACACAAATCTCCCATGGTAAACTTGACTTCTGTCACGTTACAGGTGCCGCCAAGACGACCTTTTTGTCGCACTCCGGGACCAAAGGTCAAAAATCGGTGGCCAGGTAAAGGAGATTGTCAGCATTTGGAATATGTTGAATTACCATTGCGCATCGTAACATGTGTGCCAGTGGGTGAAGAAAACTTGATGACTATGACGGGGATAATGCACATCCAAGTACCTGGCTGTGGACAAGTTCTACCTACACTGATGACAGTGGTCCATCTAGTCCAAGCTTCTGGTTTCTTCACCAATGAAGATTATACTATGATGGAAAAGACTCATTACGCTTTGATAAAAGATTTGTTGGTACTTCCATTTCCCATTCCCGCCCGTGGTCACCTTTTCGAAAACGGCAATGGGGTTTTGGTAAACGGCACAAAGACAGGTCCAGTACCCATGAGAAAGTGAACCCGATCTCTATGATTCACCATGCTTGGAAATTCCTTGAAGTCGACGATCAAAAGGAGGTTGTTCTAACTTGTCCGCAATGGAAGAAATATGTGGAGTTGCGTTGCTTTGCGTCAGTCACGTCTCTCGTTTGTTTGCGGGAGGAACGTCCCACGCCGTCGGCAGGGATTCCAACTACCTTGGATCTGCAGGTTTACTACGGTTTGATTTCCACCATGGCAATTTTGTGCGCTGGCTTGGTGGCGAATATGTCAATCAAGGTCGGGATTTCAATGCCGAATGGGATATTATCCAAAAGACAATGGATGGCAAGACCGTTCCAAAAGAATATCCTCCTGTGAAATTTGACATGGTGTACCGTATCCAAACTGAGGGAGCTCCACTACGTGCAAACTATACAACTCCAATGGAAGCTACTATCTTACGAAATGCCTACAATAACGGACAAGGTCGAGGAGAAATTTGCGAAGGAAGAGTGGAAAGCATACCATATCAACTATCTTCGTTTTGTCTATTAATTCATACCTGGGCTTGTGATCAATCCTATTCAGTGGGTTTTTGACAAAGGAAAAGGTCGCATTTGCATCGATTGCTCCAATGGTCCGGATAAGGACGGTTCAGTGAACACGCACATCCCAAAGGAAAACCTGGAATTGGAATGCCCTCCTGTTTTCTATCAGTTTGCATTTAACCGGTTTTTGCGACATTTGTTGGGCATGCAAGTTACGAGACCGAACAGTCCCATTCTGGTTCATGCTGATGACATTGAAGCTGCTTTTCGACGTGTATTGTACCATCCTGATGTTGCTGTGGCATTTGCTTATTTATATTCGGACTATCTGATTGTCCCGGTGGGTCAAGTTTTTGGTTCACGCAATGCACCGTCCTTCTATTGCGTCTTGGCCGATTTGCGTGAAGTTATTTTTGCATGTCGGGAGGATGTGCCTTTTGAAGCTTTACACAGTCTGGTACAAGAATGTGATTTGGAAGTGCACCAAGAATCATCTTTGATGACTGTCCCATCTGATTCCCATTATCCTCCTCTCTCTACTGACGAATTGTCACGGATGTACAATGCCAGTTATGTGGATGACAATGCGGTGGCAGCGTTTCTTGATGCAATTGATCAAGCCGTTCATCACAGTGTGATGTCAGCATTTGAGGTCTTTGGATCCGATTTTCGAAGAGGTCATCCCTTGCAACAAGCCAAGTGGGTGAAAACAGATTCGGAATCTTTTGTGTTCTTGGGTTTTCGGATTGACACTCGCGATATGACTGTCTCTTGGCCTCTCGATAAGCGTCAAGCTTTACATGATTTCTTAACTGATGTGCTAGATGGCCCAAATTGTGGGCATTGTATGATCAGCCTCAGCCATTGCTCCATGGGGAACTTTCCTCAGTTTCAATTTACAGAATGCCCTAACAGCGACAGCTAAGAATGCCTTCTCTGATAAACGAAAATGGTGGACCCGTTCGAGAATTTACCTCTCGACAGTAGCTGTGGCTACCATCAATCAACTACTTGAAACACTGCTTGCACCAGAGGATAGTCCCTTGTGGACTCGGCCGATTGCCTTGTATTTGGATTGTGATTTCACCCATAAGGTGTATTTGGATGCCATTATGGGCGGTTTGGGTGGTTGGAGCGAAGATTTCAGTTTCCTTTGGCGCGTTGCCCGTGAAACCATGGTGGAAGCCGGTTTTTCGATGCGCGAAATCGTTATCAAATCTGACAATCCTGACAGTGTTGATGGATTCCTACATATCAATCCTTTGGAATATGTTGGCGCATTGATTAATCTATGGCTTTCTTTGAAATGTGTGATGATCCTTGGCCCCATTGATGGTGGCTATATTTTGGCATTGTTGGTGGACAACATGACAGCGCTTTCATGGATGACGCTTGCTGCTCGAACGAAAGACCCTATGCTCCAAGGCTTGGCTCGTTTGGGTGCTGCTCTTCTTGTTCGTGCTTCTGAATTACTAACAAAAGTTTGTCCTACTCATATCCCGGGCGAACAGAACGGACCAGCGGACGCTATCAGTCGCCCTCAAAAACGCGAAAATTGCTCTCTGGACTCCGTTATCGCAACATGGTCCCAACTACAGACGTGTCGCATTTGCCTCCTTCCTTACGATCTTCTATCCACAATTGCGTCAGTGATCTCATGTCCACCGATAGGGGGTCAGTACGAGCCCATAACGATGCAACTTTTGAAACTCGAGCCCATCTTTTTGCCACTTGGTATGCCAGAATGGGACTCACCGAGCACCATTTACGAACACTAAATGACGCACAGTGTATTCTAATGTTGGGATCCAATGATTGTAGTGGCCCTGTACTGCAGAAGCAGATGGTAAGCATGACGATCAATAGTAAATGGAAAACGAGCATCAGTTGAAAATTCACAAACCTGTCCATCAATTGCAGTTCCACCCATCAGATATGCCTCAATCATGACTCAATCGCTCCCACTAGTGCATCAATGAATTAAGCTGATAATTGTAGTGGCCCTGTACTGCAGAGGCAGATGGTAAGCATGACGATCAACAGTAAATGGAAACGAGCATCAGTTGAAAATTTACAAACCTGTCCATCAATTGCAGTTCCACCTATCAGATATGCCTCAACCATGACTCAATCGCTCCCACTAGTGCATCAATGAACTAAGCCGATAATTGTAGTGGCCCTGTACTGCAGAAGCAGATGGTAAGCATGACAATCAATAGTAAATGGAAATGAGCATCAGTTGAAAATTTACAAACCTGTCCATCAATTGCAGTTGCACCCATCGGATATGCCTCAACCATGACTCAATCGCTCCCACGAGTGCATCAATGAATTGAGACCATGATTTTAGTGGCCCTGTACTGCGGAAGCAGAAGATAATAAATAGAGAATGACTCTGACGCATCAGGTGAAAATTTACGAATCTGCTTATCAATCCATTTTTTTCCTATGCTTCGGTTGATTGTAAAATGACAAATGCCAGTGTTGAATGCCATGTAGTATCACCTATATCAGAAACGGGTCAATGTCAACAGAGCATCATTCTACCTTTGGACTTCAGTTGGATGCAAGGCGTTGACTGGTGACTGGGGATATTGAACTGAAATGAATCCGCAAAAAGAAACACTTCTGCCAACCAACGGGTATTCCAGTTCCATGAGCAGAGCGATCTTTCCACTGTTCTTGAATCGTCGGACTTGACGCTGTTCCCATTCTTTCTTGTCGAGTCCTTGTGCGGTGTTTTTGTCTTTCTGTTTGGGAGGTTGAAGAAACCTATGGCTTAGAGGCCACTCTATAGGGACAGTGCAGAGAAGTTTGGGCTGTTTGGATTTTGGACAACAATGAGCATCATGAATATTGACAAAAGATTAGGTGTGCAATTGGATGGCTTGTTGACTACTGTAATAGTGCTGTGCCGGGCTATACGTAACAGTGCATGCGGATCAACCAAAAATTGGTTTTTGGGGTGGGTTCTGGCGCACCTTTGGTTGGTGAGAAGCCTTGGAGCTAAAAAAAAAAGTAAATATATGACCCCGATCCACGAAAAACCCCCCCTTCCCATACCCACTTTCGGGCTTTTCTAAAAAAATATCACCATAGAAATTAAAAATGGTCATTTTTAGAATACGTGGTATTTTAACGCCAATATTACAGTGCAAAGGGCAATTTTTCGGGGATTTTAGCCCTATGCTCGAAAGTACTTTTCGACAATTTTTGGTTTTGGGATGATGAATCAACTGATTCGCATCACCACTCACGATAGGACAATGATTGAGGGCGAAATGGAAGCCAAAGAAGGTAACTATGCCGGCTACAACACAGACACCATCTACAACACGTGTTCCAGAAGAGCAATGGGGTTTGATTTGCAATCATGCAAGTTCAGAGAAGTGGTGTGATAGCTATCGACGAGAAAATGAAACAAGTACAGAAGAGGCTGGAAACGACACGACCGAATGAAGGATTCCTCTTCCCTTTCCTTCCCTTCTTTTGTCCCCAAGGTCTAAGGTCTGTTGATTGTTATGTTGGAGAGCTACTATGGTTTCCATGTTGCTGTGGCAGTTGCTGATGGCAATTGATGAAGATGTTGCTTGATGAGAATGGCGAAGACTGCCACTGTGGAGAGAATGGAATGAATTAAAGAAGACGAAGAGTCGTAGGTAATGTATTATAGGCTTGGATGTAGGTAATATGTTAGCTTTGTTACGTATTCCCTCAGTACTGTAGTGGTAATGTTGACAAAGGTGATGTCTTGGATGCCATTTTGGTTCCATTTTGGTTCTATCGGTACAGAAAATTTCCACAAGGCCCTTGGTGGAATTTGCGCGCAAACCCGGTTTTTTCCGTACGTCAGCAGTTTCCGAACCCATTGCGCACTTCTATGCGCCCGCCCGTTGAGAATTCTTCAACCACATCAAATTTTCCTTCCATCGGCAATGGTGAGCCTCGAGGCCGAGGAAAGCATCACCCTCTGGAGGAAAACTCGTGGGTCGCGGACATTCTCTGTATCGTGATCGTATCCATCTTGTTTGTATGAAGCGATATGGATGTATTTGCCCCTCTCACCTCTGAAATCACTGCTAAAGAACCTCAACAAGGTACGAAAACTACTTTTGGAGAGGTTTCGGGACGTCTACGAAGTCCCAAGGCAACATAGAGCTAGAATTTTCTGCGGAAGTTGCTTCAATTATTATACTAAAGGCAATGCCACCATTTCATGTGCATTATCTGGGTTGCTACACGACGATTTTCAACGGAGACCATTGAGTTGCAAATTCGCCGGTCACAATGAAATTGCACGGCCTGGCCCCCATGAGTAGAGAAAGTGGAATCAGAGGTTGTGGCAAGCATAGTTGATATATTTGTTACGTCGGGAGCGGCGGTAATTATGTTGAATATATTTTTCTGGGCCACAATCACACAATAATCCACCATGATTGGTTCCGTTGGTTGCTTTGACTGGACGGATAGGTGTCAAGAAGACGTATTTGCCGAATGCGACTCATACCTACCGTCACCATCAAGACAATATCTACACGGAGACTTGTTTGCAGCGTCCAACTATCAAAATTGACGATTTGGAGCACATCAAGGTGACTTGGTGCGATTGTTCCCCTCGTTTGGACAAGCCAGTGTGGACGCCCAGAGAAGTAAAAACCGCCGAACATGTTGTGGCAAGCGTATTTGATAGATAAACTATGGCTGGAGCGGCGATTCATACTTGCAATCGCCTCCATTACACTACAATCTACCCTGCTTCGTTCGGCTGGTTCTGTTCGGTTGCAGAAACTGGTCGGCAGAAAGTCAAGAGGGTCAATGCCTCACATTCAACATGTGCTGAAAAGCTCGGCAGGGATCCTACCTACTCGGGGATCCATTCGGTTGTGTTTTGTTTTGAATACTTGTTGAGATATTGGAATTCCAGTGTTTGGTGCTGTCTGTTCCCCTTTCAGCATGAAGGTCGGCGTGGCCGCCCTGGAGACAGCCAACCATTCAACAATACACCAGAGCCTCCCTTGGATGCCTATTGTTCAAATTTTCTGGGACCCAGGCAATGGTTCCGCCTAGATTAAGAATCATGCCGCCCAAACGGGGTCAGAAATCATGGAAATCTGGTCCAAAAAGCCACTTGGTGGTGGTGTGGGCCGAATTTCCTAAAAATGCCTTGTTCTAACACATATTTGTCGTCCATGGGTATGTATGAGAAGATTGGTGGCTTTGGAGTGGACATTTTCTAGGTAAAAGTGTTTGAATAGCATTCACACTGCTTTGGGGATCATTCCAGGTTCATGAAAGAATGTGGCTGGAATCCTTCTCAGTAGCCGAGTCGATACCCTGACACGATGGCACCAAGTTCAAAGTTGGTCAAAATATATATAGTAATCGAATTTGAGCGGTGGTTTGGAGGGCTATGGCGGAAAAAAGAATCTAGGATAGCATAATTTTTTTCTCTCTTTCCTTCTTTTCAATTGACTTTGTGGAATGGCCTGAAATTAAGATCGATATACAGAAATATCTCTAATTCAAAGTGGACCTAGTCCTAGCAAATATATATACTTATAATATCGCATTGAAATTTATCTAAGAATGTAATCGCAACAAGGTCGTATGGTACGAGATCAGCCTCTGGCCTCTTGAGTTTTTTTTGGCAATCACATTAGTCAATATCAAGTCAATTGAGTCAATTTGACTAACGGCTGGTTTTTTAGCCGTTTCCCGAAAGTTTTTTTCTGCAGTGGAGCCCCTCTAACACCTCCTATGAACTTGGGATTTTTTACAAGGGATGGGCAAAGTATTCTCTAGCTCTTTGAAAAGGTTGTAGGTCCGTAGGTGTCTTTTGAAATTTTTGCTTTGTCCCCAGAATTCCAAATTTGGGGGGGTATTTCGTGGATCGGGGTCATATATCATGCATACCATATAAATTTCGTGTGCACATTGGGTGATTTTTTACAAGTGCCTTTTAGCCACTTTTAATGAAAAAACGAGCCGGCCCGACAAATGGCCAAAACCCATTTGAAGTGCCTTTTTGGCACTTCAAAGGGTGCATATTTTCAAAAAATATGGGTAGCGGATGAGTGCCCTGTTTGCCGTGCAATCACGTCCAACTCACCTCTTGACATGGTAGAACCAAATATAAATCCAATTATGTCGGTCCAAACATGGCATAGATCAAGCATTGTTGGTTCATGATCCAAGCCAAAAATATCCTGAACCTGTGTTGGTTTAATCCCACTCATGGGGCTGTACCCAGTCTGCTCTTTTGCCAACAGGTACAAAAGATACAGCCTACTCAGTGACCATGGCAGCCACCAGTTGCACAAAACAGTGTATCTTCTCCATCACTCTGTAATCCCTTTTGAATTGGAAATGGGTCAAGTTTAGTTGGACACCAACTTCAAAGTGGTACCATTGGCTCCCAAAACTCGTTTTCAGACTGACCGATGGATCCAATAGAGCTGATACAAGTGTGTTCCCGTTTGCTCCAAGAATCTCACAGAAGACAATCTGAAACCTATCCCTGATCTTTGGAATAAGCTGCGACCATAGAGCCTTTGGGTACCTGCTACCAGATACCACCACGTCTCCATTCTGTGACACATAGTCCCCTGATCTACCATTCTTCCTCAGTTTCTCGTATTCTCGAACCTGCCTTATGAGCGGTGACAGAGTCTGGATGACCCGTCCTTGTTGTACCTCCTTGCAGAGCGCCAGCTGTCGACGAATATAATTATTCTCATTACACTTGAAAGCCTCTCCAAGACTGCCCAGACGGCAGATGTAAAGAATTGTTGCCAAAGTTCTGCCAATGGCATATGCACCCTTCAAAGATTCTGATGATTCAAAGAAATGAAATGACGTGTATTGTAGTAGTTTAGGGGAACCGTCAATGAGATTTTTTCCATTCTGCAAACTCAACATGTGCAGATACTTTGGGACTTGTAGTGGTGCCCGTTCATCAACAAATCCATGGATCAAACCAAAAGACTTCCATGTGAAATGAATAATCTTTTTCAACTCCGAGCAGACGGGTTCGATCATGTTTCTCACCGTGAAAATGCTTTCATACTCAGTATCGACACAAAATGAAAGCATCTCATGGCGAACGCTCCCGGGCAACATGGCAACCATCCTTGCTGAATACTGGCGCATCCATTTGTCTGCCCCTGAAATAAACGCCATTGGGGAATCCGGACCCTTGCGCACACGCTCTATTCCAGCCTGAACAAAGGTTGCTGGTGATTTTGATCCAGTGGTTGAAACAAGGAGTGGTAGCAAAATCTCGACCAGACGGCTGGGCGACTTCATCTTGTCAACCAGTTCATTCTTTAGAGTAGCATGATTAGTGCCAAGACACAATAAAATAGCGTCGTCTGGCAATTTGTCTTGAACCAACCCGTCTACTGCCCTCTCCTGCACAACTCTATCCACATAAATACCAGCCCCACTTATTCCCGACTCCAACTGGCTTGCACCTGGCGTTGGACCTATGTAGTGCAGCGTGTGATACGCCATGCACTCCCGCTCAAAATTCACCCTTTCATACCTGCATTTTGTAGAATTGTTCCTTTTGAAGTGTTTGGAGAACGAGTCTCTTTTAAGATATAGTCGCCCACATGGAACACAAATAAAAGCCCTCATCAGTTTGGGTTTGGCATCATATTTGAATTTTACGTCGTCCCTTGTGACTCCCTTTGACTTTGCAACAGGACAGCTATTCGCTAGATGACGTGCAAAATAGCTGTTCAAAACCTGTTTCCCGCAGAAGCACAAGAATCCACTTGGAGAAGATAGAACAGTTAGGTTGGGCGCCAAAAAAGGATCATCGTCCTCTTTGCCCTCCGCGGATACCGCAAAATCCAAGTCCATCAACATTGATTGCATTTGTTGTTGCGATATGGCTGCTTCAGCGGAAACTCATTTGTTTCATCCCAGTCCCGCACACTCAGGTAGGCCAGGCATACGTCCACCGCTATTTAGCACCGCCCCGTGTCCTATTGCTAGGTAATGTTTGGGGAATTAGAGGGGAATCGGTCTGCCAGGCGCGCGGGAGAGTCGGCCACTCCCGCTCTAGAAAACATGTATTTTCGCAAGATTGATGTCACTCGTCCAACACATCAACACACACAAAAACATCGTTTGTTGCACGTTGATTGTCGTTTGTCTGATTGTTGTTTCTTTGATTCCTCCTCCAATTGTATGTTTGTTGCCTTCATCTTTTGGTCTCCTTGAAGGGAGAAAAACTCCTCCCTTCATGCCATCAGTTGCTTGCTACGACTTGATGCTTGAAGGAAGATCTTTTGGTGACTGCGTTGTCACCTCGAGGCAAATAGCAATGTCCGCATGTTGGCCCTTGTGGCCGTAAAACCTAGCAGCTGTCTGGTATCGTAGTCTTGCTGTACATGAGAACCTGCGACACTCTCCTGACCAGAGGCATTCTACATCGTTCAGAGGACTTGCTCTCGCTGACATGTATGCATGTATAGTTGGTTTAGAACTATACAATAATTCATGCTTGTCACACTAATTCTAGGATCGCAAGATGGAGAATACAGCAATTAAAATAGATAAGTTTTACACTCTTTTTCATATGTCTAGCAGCGTGCAACAACGATGGCATCTTCTCCAGCAATAGAAGATTGCCAACATAACAATAATTCCACACCTTTTCTATTCAATTAGGTCTTTTTCTTAGGCAAAAAAAGTCATGGATAAGGGTGGCTTGTTCACCAGCGTTGATCTCCGCAATTGTAGTCCGTTCGAGTAAACTCTCCTTCTGTTTTGCATGTTTCTCCCGAATTCTCTTCCTTTTCTCCACATAAGTCTTTGGAGGTTGCTACACCCCAATAGGACTCTCCTTGCCAAAGTGTGGAACCCAATAGATATACAATAGAAGAGGATCCTTCTTTCTCATATCCTTGGTCACCTGAATGTACGTTCTCTCATGCCTCGGAAAAAATACTCCCCATTCCTCATCCTTCAGTAGCTTTGGCTTGGATCTCCTTTTCGTCTTCAACTTTGGCATTGCAAGGGCTGGTTGTTGATGTAAAACATGATGTGCTGGTTGCGTTGATTGACCGGTGCATTGTTTTGTTGTTGAATTGCATAGTTTGAATTTGAGAAACAACGGCATTGTGAAAACAACAAGAAACACGTCGGAAACTTGTCGGAAACTCGTCAGAAACTCGTCAAGTGTCAGGACACACATAAAAAAAGACCGGAAAATTGTCAGGACAAACGTCAAAAAAACCGGACACTCGTCTGAAATACGTTTTGAATTTGAAACTGCACATATGTGAATACGTACTTTATATTTTCTTCGTACATGATTATTTTTTATATGTTTTTCGTACCAATTACTTAGGGAGCGTACTTACACGCCAAAATGAAAGACAAGGTCATTATGAAAATCACAGGACCGGAGGTGGATATTTTCTGCAACATCGACAAATCTCTAAAGGAGTTCGTCGTTGAGGAGGAAAAAAAGGTGTTATAAGTTCAGTTGGACATAGCTTTGTATGGGTGTGTTCAATCTGCTTTGCTATGGTTAGTGTACTCTGAAAGGTTGAAAGACATGGGTTTCACTTTGAACCCATATGATCTATGCGTCGCAAATGGAATTTTTGAGGGTAAACAGTGCACCATATGCTGGTATGTGGATGACAACAAAATCAGTCACGTAAACCCAAAAGTGGTTGATGACGTGATCAAGGGTCCATCTTGCTTTGATTGCATAATTGGCTCGACCAGTCTTTGCTTTGCCGCAAACAACCTCCTCCACAACTCCAAAATCAACTTTAGACTTGGCATTGGAGCCATAGCGACGCTTGCACTCGGCCAAGCGGGTGACCAAGATTGCCCTTGTTGATACTCTTGCCCCTATTTGATGCTCAGGGTTGCTAGAAGCCATGGTTGGGTCGTTGTAGTTGTTGTTGTTGTTGTTGTTGTGATGGTGATGATGTCAGTTTTTTTCACACACGAAAGCGTATTGAAGCACCTTTGGCAAAGAAAATCTTCCGTCACAGCAATTGTCAGCCAGTGACCCCACAGAAAACAAGAAAGATTGAATACCAAGGAATACGCTCTTAAAGCAGGAGGTTTGATAAACATATTTATGGTAGTTAGGTAGGACTGTCAAAAGCTGCCTCATAATGAGGCAGATGCCTCATGCGTTTCATATTACGCACGATTGACACTCACGTCACTGCCGCGTCATGTCACAGACCATTGTATGGTTCTCACATTGCGTAGAAACACCTCCTAAAAATTACTTAGAAGATATCTGGCTTGCGCTCGTGATCATGAAAACTCAATTGTTTCATTCGACTGCTGTATCAAGTCCCGAGTGCAGAATTTGAACGAGGTTTCTCACAAATTGTTCGGGAACAAAACAACAAAATCACCAGTTTGTTATATCGGAAAGGCTGTATTTGAATATCTCCACCCATACTACGAATTCGTTAATGAAATTGAATCAAATACGAGATAATATATAGAGGAAGCTATTGTGTGAATTTCATTAGCATTGAAAACAAGAACTGGCGGGATCACGGTGAGCCCAATTTAGGCGCAATTGGCAACCATCGCTTCCTGGTTTCTTGAACTACTCTTGTTTAACCAAAAAAGAGTGTCTTGATCAAACGACGGAGGAGCTGCAACTTCGTGAAGTCACACTCACCAAAGCCGAAATTAAGCAGAACAGCATCAACCACTTCTTCATGAAAGTCAAACTGAAACACCAGGCCGAAGAAGAGCGGTAGAGTACCTCAGAAAGGAAGCAAATAAGCTTGGCGCAGATCCAGGAAACCGGATTAAAGTCAAGGAGCTCTAAGATTTTTTCAAGCATTCAGCCAAAAGAAAGATGGCCAAAGAGGGAGACAACACCGAAATCAGCATCAAAAGCAAACGGTGTCAGTCGACATCGCCACAGTTTTTGAACCGATGATGTCAATGAAAAGTTGGGGGAAAGAGCCTTGACTGTTGAATGGTAGATTGATAGAATAAAATGTAATGGAGACTCACTCGGATATGCGACATTGGGTTCTAAACTTTAGTTTGATACCTCCACGCGATTTGTGTTTGGCGAGTAAGAATATTTTTTTGAAACAGTGGTGAAACCGGACGACGCAAAGGCCATGTCAATTATATATATCTACGTACGCGTAATAAAGGGGTATGTTCCGCGCCGGGGTTTCCCCTGGTAGGAAGTGAGAACCATACATTGATCAATAATCGACCAATATACAGCTCCAATCATTTTCCAAGCCTCATAGTAATTTAGCTTCTATTACACTTATTGCAACTGTCGCACTCAGAATTTTCTCCATTTAAAAAAACAACAACCTCAGTCACAAATGCATCTTCAAGCTCGTTCCACCTTTTGCCACTTGCAACATCATAACGAAGGGTATTCTCAGTTTGTTTCAACTATGTAGTACTGTCTGCCTCCGTAGCCGTCGTTGCTCCACTATTTGTACCGAAAGCTCCTTTGTATCCTTCGTATATACCGTTCAACAGAGATTTGGATTTGTCACGCTTTTTTGTCTTGCTTCGGAGCAAGCGATCGCCTTCTGCTCCGAGCGCAAGCTCTGCATGCGATATCATGACCTCGGACTCCTGTCCACCCCCACAAGTTGAACACAAAGCAAGATTGGTTGCTCCAAACTCATCTTCTGTTGGCACCACAATTGTGACACTAACAACTTTGCCTTGGCAAAACGTATCACTCAAAGACGATGATATATCCGATGTATTGGCAAGTCCAATGTGAAATAGCATACATACTCCAGTCTCAACTTTAGCGTCAGTGAATACATTGTGCATTGCCTCGATTGCAGCTTTACGTTGATTTGCACTGTATGCCACTCGATTTTTCACACTCACCAACATGGGGCAGTAATGCAAAGTGCCATTTACAGTGTACTGCAATGGCACCAGCATGTCATACGCCTTGCAAGAAGCGTACGCATACGATGCTCGTCCACCAAGATACCAATGCTCGAGAAGTCTGCTATCCTTAAATTCTTTCAAACTGTAACGTAAATAATTCCGGCAAACTTGTATGAAATTGACGCTTGGTTTAGCTGTACTTTTGCATAACTTAGCACCTTTGCCTTGTTGCATTCTTGCAATCCAGTTCTCTAGTGGAACAGAAAGCTGAGTGAGATCTCGTGAGTGCTCGAACCTCAATTCATCCCCGCAAGCCAGCATGTAAAAGGCAGCTGCAACCTCACCGACGTCTCCCTTTTCGGGGCGGCACAATGCAGAGGAGTATATCTTAATGGCCTTCTCCGACCAAACAGATGGGTGTTTGCCACACCCCATCAAGATACCACCAACCTTCTCATATAGATCGCAGTCCTTAATCATCTGTGTCATCGCAAGCCATGCACAAACAGGATCAGGAAGAAACGCAATCTCGGCCACTGCGGTCTGTTCCGGTGAAAAGTGAGTCAGATGTGCGTATCCCGAAGCCACTAGTTCTGATGCAAAATCAAACGACACTTGCCCCATTTGCAGCCGCGTCGCCAAAAGTGAAAAATACTTCTGCAGTGAGAGCTCCTGGCCCGCACCTCTCATTCGGAACAAGATATTTCCAAGTGCATCCTTCAACTTTCCGTTCAGTTGCAATCGCCCGAACAAGGGCCGTCCATATTGGGTTGCGACATCAAACTCCGTAACAATGTTGCCGTTGATGAGCTCACCTACTGTTCCAAACTTGGATCCATCAGAGCGTGACACAAGACCTGTCGTCGTCAGTTGACAGAACGGAGGGTACAGCTTTTTCCCTCCAAGGTACTTTACGCTTGCATTCCTCGAGTCAGTTGAATTTTTTTGTTCCGCATAGTAGTTTGCCAATCTGGTGGTTGTACCAGCAAACACACAAACCACGTTGACGCCGTTTGGTTTATCAGGCAATCGGAGCCACCACCGTATGCATCGGAAATGCCAGCCATCACTGTTGCTGGTTAGGTGCTGTGACTCGTCAAAGAGCAAGACAACCTCCTTCTTCTTATTATTTGTCTCGACCAAGGCCACCATTTTCTCCGAAAGCTTCTTTTGACCTTCTTCACCCACTTGAAATTGACTTACGTCCAATGTCTCCGAAAAAATGCTGCCGTTTTGTGACAACATTTCTGGAGGATTTCCGTTCGTGCAGAGAATGAGTCTCACGTGGACGGTGTCCTTCGCCATTGCGCATTCCAACTCGTGAAGCAGTTTTGTCTTGCCAGCTCCGCTGGATTGTATTAGTGGAAAACACGGCGCCATATACTCTTTTGACTGGTGTACTTTCCACTGAAAGAGTTTTTTTACCTCATCGATCAATGCCATCAAGTCTCTTACATACACCATCTTGCTCGCATCAATGTCGAAATCGATGCTTGCAACCCGCTGCGATGCAGTTGCAGCAGTGCTAGAGATGAACGGTTTAGTTTCTCCAGTCTTCAAGAAATGAGCCAGGTCGATCTTCAGACGTTTTTGAGTAAGCTTAATCTGGTCTTCATCTTCTTTCAAAGCCTCAATCGTTAGACATTTAGAGCTCTTCTTTCCACTAGTTACACCTTCATTGAACCATTCGTCGTCGTTAGTAATGTAGTTTCCAAGTCTTTTGTCATCAGCAGGTAAATCGGCAGCTTTCGATCTTTTTTCCCTTTGGTCGCTTCGTTCTTTCGCTCCTCGCTTCATGGAACTATTTGGTTCGGTACTATTATCACTACTCATGTTGTTGGGGGAATAAGGGCGACAGCTGCTCTGGGTGCCAAGTGGGAAAGGCAGTGCAATGAGAGCGCTCTCTTGCTGCAGATATTTTACCGCCTGGTACAGATGAGGAGGTCTTTTGCACTACTGGATTTTCAACCCCTGTTTTGGTGGTGAAAAAGGACAGGGACGCACCACAACGTCAAACGCACGCCCGAAATCTGTCCGTTTAGATTGTTCTGAGGATTTTTTAGCTCTAAATAATTTTT